TTCATCATGCTCCTTCTGATGATGATTTTTATCATGGACTTTGTTAATGAAGTTCAACTTGTGATTTACCCCATTTTATTGTCTTTGTAGTGAATTGAATCTTTGCTCCTTCTATGAGTTTCTTTATGGGAATCAATTAGATTAAATGATGCATATCTAGTACAATTTGCGGAGTCCCGTAGTGATATTGGGGTAACTCTATGCATAATATATTAGAACAATAAAGAACATATGGTGTTGTCATGGAATAATTTTGGGGGTTGCCTATGGTGATATTGGTGACATTGGGGTGGTTCTATAGATTAATATTGGAAATGTGAGTTTGAGGTGGTTTGCCGTTCGTACATCTACGCGGTCTCATCCTACTTTGATCCGATTTAAAGAGAAACTTGGGAGTGACTTTTTATTGCACTTTTTAGGGCGTATCATGTGTGTTAACTATGTTACTGATCTTGAGGGTTGACACTAGCGAAAGTATGAACTCTAGGCCTTGTTTCCAAGCATTGCAACATCGTTTTTGTTCACTTTTTTTAGTTGTTACCTTGTTTTTTTGACCTGAAACTGTAGGGTTTGTACATATTTATCCAGATTAACAAAAGGGTTTCTCTTGGTCACATCTAGTTATTGCACATCTAAGTGACTCTGTTAACATAAAAGGGAACAAAAAGAAATGAGAAAATACTCGCATGAACCTTCGCATAAAATCAATGACATAGAAATTAGATGTGCAATACTTATGGCACATCTAGATGTGCTCTAGCAAACCCGTTAACAAAACTACTTCTACAATCCATATTACAGATACATCATCATGTCATCATCAAACTAGTGCACCTATAGAACTAACAATTGTATTCGGTGTGTTGGGGACACAAGAAACCACTTGTATTTAATTGCAATATTGTTTGAGATGGGTCACTTTCATCCTATACTTCAAGCTAATTGATAAATCTTAGATGATCCACTTGAGAGAAATTGTTGTTGTCCTATGATCCTTTGCACTTGGAGGCCCAATAAAGTCTTCAAGAATCTCGCTAACCGTTTCTGTTGCGTTCCTTAATCGCAAACAGTTCATCCGAGTGAATTGTATGTCGTATACCGTACATACCTTGATATGGCTGCCCGTTTCTGTTGTTCTGACTCATCGCAAACAGTTCTCCTGGACTAACCGTATGCCACGCATCGCACACGCAACTACAATCTAGATCGTGTTTGATGTCTCTGCCATAGCAAACATTTCATATCATTTTTTACAGTTATTTTACATCACCCTGTGCGATAAATGCATCACACACAGTTCGTCGAATGGTCTCTGATCGGACTGTTGCGTTCAGTGGCGGAGCCACCTCCCGGCGACCCTGGGCATCTGCCCGGGCTCTGCCCAAATACCTCCATTAAATTACACTAAGAGACTGAGAATTAATCACCAGTCTTTGTGGGCAAATGCCTATGGAGCACACCCCTTTGTATTTTGCCCCCGCTCCATGGACGGGCTAGCTCCTCCACTGGTTGCGTTTGGACCATCCTGTAATAGTGTATGGATATTAGGTATACTAGACTCTCATGGCAAAACTTGGCGTGTGGATTTTGTTGGAAATATGCCCTAGAGGCAACAATATTGTATTATTATATTTCTGTTTTCATAATTAAGAGTTTATTTTTATGCTATAACTGCTATGATCCTAGAATATGTGATTTAGTGAAAAACTCATATGCACGTGTTGATAAACGGTAAAATAAGGTTCCTAGTCTTGCCTCTAAGACTGGCTCAAGTGTTGTTGGTGATTTTGTTTTCGGGATCTTGGGATGTCGTGAAGTGTAATGATAATCCTAAAACAACAATGGGAGTATGACATTAGAAGAACGATCATATTGAATCGACCCACACTTGTTTGTTGTACTTTAGATAATATCATCGTAAATCAATTGTTATATGATACGTCCATTTTGCATCATGCTTTTATATCGATATTTATTGCATTATGGGTTGCTATTACACATTATGTCACAATAATTATGCCTATTCTCTCTTATTTTACAAGGTTTACATAAAGAGGGAGAATGCCGACAGCTGGGATTCTGGGCTGGAAAAGGAGCAAATATTAGAGACCTATTCTGCACAGCTCCAAAAGTCCTGAAACTCCATAGAAGACGTTTTCCAAATATATAAAAAATACTGAGAGCAAGAACTTCACCAGGGGGCCACACCCTGCCCACAAGGGTGGGGGGCGCGCCCTACCCCCCTAGGGGCGCCCCCTACCTCGTGAGCCCCCTGGTGGCCCTCCGGTGACCATCTTCTGCTATATGAAGTCTTTCGATGGGAAAAAAAATCATAATCCATCTTCTCGGACGAAACTCCACCTCCACGAGGCGGAACCTTGGCGGAACCAATCTAGGGCTCTAGCGGAGCTGTTCTGCCGGGGAAACTTCCCTCCCGGAGGGGGAAATCATCGCCATCGTCATCACCAACACTCCTCTTATCGGGAGAGGGCAATCTCCATCAACATCTTCATCAGCACCAGCTCATCTCAAAACTCTAGTTCATCTCTTGTATCCAATTCTTGTCTCCGAGTCCGGGATTGGTGCTAGTAGGTTGCTAGTAGTGTTAATTACTCCTTGTAGTTGATGCTAGTTGGTTCAATTGGTGGAAGATCATATGTTCAGATCCTATATGCATATTAATACCCCTCTGATTATGAACATGTTTATGCTTTGTGAGTAGTTACTTTTGTTCCTGAGGACATGGGAGAAGTCTTGCTATTAGTAGTCATGTGAATTTGGTATTCGTTCGATATTTTGATGAGATGTATGTTGTCTCCCCTCTAGTGGTGTTATGTGAACGTCGACTACATGACACTTCACCATTATTTGGGCCTAGAGGAAGGCATTGGGAAG